GAGAATGTATGTTCACAACAGATGTTTCAATGGCTGCATATTCATTTGTGACCGGAGTTCCCCTTTAACACTGAGCGAAGTGTGAACACAGTAAATTACTTACGCCTCTCTTCGGCGGTTTCCGCGCATCTTCCTGTAACACAATGAAACAAAAAGGTCAACTACGGAAAAGACCGGATATTCACCGCTAGCCGACGGCGGAGTGAACAGTTTATAACCGTTTACAGCTTTTTCATCAACTTCGCGCTGAACACAACTAAATTTAACTTAAGTCAACTTTTTACTCAGCAGCCTTTCTCAATAACGCCAAAGGGGAAAACAGTTTCAGTGATTTAACAGTAAGATACCTAAGATAAATAACGGTCGTCCCAAATAACACACTGAGCAGGAAATTACCCCCAAAATGGACCGTCTACATTAGCCTTACAGCAAATCTTCAGTTATTACCTAATTAAATGTTGAATTAGCACGTAGAGTTGAATGAACGTCGGACACAAACGAACACAAAGTTCGTCCAGAGTTACTGATTTTGCTGTTTCCTGCTACGGTTGAAAGAAAAAACAAGGTTTTTTCTGCTTCTATATCACCTGAACTTCGCTGTCCCGGTTCACACGGCGGTGGGGCGCAGAAACATGCGGCCAGGAGGCTGAACAGCACCGCGGCGCTGAGCATTGTGGAGACCGAGTGATGTGGCACCCTGACGGCTTGAGGACGAGCGGTCTGCTCGGAGCCCGGTGCAGGAGAACCTCCAGGCTGTAATTTGATCGTCTGGCTGCTAAAGTCACCGAACTGTGACTGGCTGGTTGTGCTAAAGTCACTGCTCAAGCAGCCCGGACGGTCAAATTACAGCCTGGAGCTTCTCCTGCATGAGGCTTCCAAACTCCACCTTTTCTGGAGTGTTCAGAGTGAGGGGAGTTCAGTTAGTGGCTCTGGACTGTGGAGGTGGGTAGAGCAGGCCCAGCCTAAAACCACATCCTACTACAGTACTCAGAAAGGAAACCTCTTAAACCCAAAAAGCCTTGTGGATATGCATCAAACATTTTCCAAGAAAAACATAAATCTTATCTTCTTAAACTTGTAGTGGGACTTTTTTTGAGCATAATTTCAGTTTAAAGGACAACATTTTCAAAAAAGTGTGAAACAGGTTCTCAGAGAAAAACAATAATGGTGTGATAGCACATCCATTAAAGGGGAATTCCACCAATTTTTCAAAAGTTCTGTGTAATTCAGTGGATATAGTGTAAAGAGTAATTCAGAGTGGTGTGATGTAAAATATTTACTGTAGAGGAATTTACTGACCCTGATTACTGATTTCTTTACAGTGGTGATGATAGGAACCAGGGGTCAAAATGTCTACAAGACAAATATAGTCATTTTATTTACTAGCCAAACTACCTAATGAGTTTTTCTTTGTAATGTTGATGATTCTGACCTGTCCAGGGTGTATCCTGCCTTCTACCCAATGGCTACTGGGATAGGCTCCAGCTCCCCCCAGTGACCCAGAAGGATAATCGGCTTAGAAGATATATATATATATATATATATAGCTATAATGTATCACTATAAATATCTAGCTATAATGTATCAGGCAGTGTAACAACGATTTCATGTAATAACTTGAGGGATCTTTTAGAGCCATTAAACTTAGATGTCTAGTTCCTGTCACCACCACTAAGTCCCTAAGTTTCTCTAGAACAGAGCATTTCACACCAAACAAGTTAGTTTACATCTTAACCATTTAATCATATAGAAATTTGTAAAAGTTGGTGGAGTTCCTCTTTAAAATATGACAACATTTCTTTATTGGACTTGCCACAGCTACCATGTGGATTCTGTGACTCCTGACTGGAGCTTTAGTTATGTAAAACCTTCATGGCACATGTTTTCTGTAATTGTATTAAGTGTAGCTCTCTGCATAATTTTCACCTTAAATAATCCCTCATAGATTAATTTATCAAGGAAACTTGTAAAAAAATTTTACCAGTAAAAGTTCTTTCACAGAAGATGTAAAGTTACAACCTGGGTAGCTTTTATCCAGAAGGCTTTGAAGTGTTTTATTTCCTAGGAAATTAATGGAGGCAAACAGTGTACTATGTTTCAGTCATGCTCAATTAAAGCTGCACTATATAAGATTTAGAGACCTCTCTGGTGATAACATGTAATTGCACGTAATGTGCAGAAGAGCATTTTTTAATATTAGTTGTGTTTCCATCCTGTTCTTGAGTGGATGGAACTGATGATTGTGTGTTAAAAGAGTATTCAAAGAGAAATCAGTCAAAACTTGGTGGAGGATGTGTCTTCTGGGGATATAAGTGTATGATCTAATATTGTCATCCTATCTTCATCAGTATAATGTTGATTTTGCATTTGAGACCTAAACATCTAGTCAGACCTTCTTTCTGAGCCTGTGTGTGACAGGAATATGTAAAGACGTATGATGTGGTCTGAAAAACTCTTGCAAAAACCGAACTGATGCCTCTGATTTTTAAATGATTATTTCAGGGGTGACTCACAGCAGCACACACACACCATTATTTAGCATGTTTCTCCTCCTAACTCAGTAATGCTACTTCTTTCAAGTTTAACAGAAAAATCTTTCAAAGTGAAGCTGGAAACCTCAGTACAGTCCAACTAAACCTCAATGTGTTCCAGCATGCTTTTCTTCTGTCATTTCCTCTCAGGTCTGACAGCTGAAGCGTTGGTTTTTCCATGATATAATGACTTGTGTAAGTAAAAGTAGATTTCAAAAATATTGAGTAGGTCCAAAAACCTTCCCTAGTACCTCCAGCATATATCAGTCTAGTTCATCTGAAAGGAATTGAAGCTTGTTAGGCCCTCTTCTTCTCTTCTTAGAATCCTTTTAGTGTAAAATAAAATGCTGAAGCTCCAAAGCCAAGAGTGTGAGGAGTAAAAGAAATATAACATGAAATTATTCAGAAAAGTACATATTCATCAAAAGTACTCTCTTAAAAAAGATGGTTCTTCAAGGGTTCTTTAGTAAAGAAAATGGTTCTATAAAAAACATGAACTCCCAAAGAACCCTCTGCATGGTTAAAAGGTTCATTGCATCATGAAGGAGTTCTTCAGAACCTTTTCGAAAAAGGGTTCTAGCACCAAAAAGGGTTTGTGTTACAAGCTCGTAAAGTAAAAATAGCTATTTTGATTTTGGTGCTATATACAACCATTTAACTGTGTAAAAGCAAGTTCCATTTACTCATTAAACTGAGTGAATGAAACTTACTACCCTCATCTGAATATACAAAGGGTTGCTTTTATTAAAAACTATTAATAGACCCATCTCTCTTTCCAGCTGGGGAAGAAACCAGAAAATACTTGGAGGTTTTTTATTCTGCTGCTCACCAGGCAAGAGGCCAAATATACCAAAGGCCAATAGTCTAAATCTTTCAGTTGGATTTGGGCAGCCCAGATGCCTATAATATATCTTATTGTGGGCTACTTGAGTTTAATTTAATTTATAACCACTGTAGTTTTGTGATATGGCATTTGCTCCATCAAAGGCAGGGCCCACATTTATTACGTCTTGATTTCTCAGGACTTCATATTCACTTTCTTACCCCATTTCCAATCACTACAAGATCAAAACATACTATATTCTCTAAAGAGTTCATCTGATAAGAATGAAAATACCTTTAAATTAGATTTGCATGTTTAACCCTAGTATCACTCAATCCACTGAACCTGAAGATCCACAGATTTTCTTGTTAAGAGATGCACAGTCAGTCTTCATTCCTGTGACATTTAATCAATGAAAAAAAAAACATTATGGAAATATTCAAATCTTTGACTAATTACATTCAGTTCCTCAATCATGTCATGCATAAACAACATTAATGTAACTGTGGGCCTACAAAAATACAAATTTGACCCTCCAATAACAGTTAGATGGACAAACAGGAATGCTTTAAGGTATTTACAATATTGACTCATAGAAAGTCCAACATGTTTTAGGGAACCATGTCTGACCTTATCTATCATAGTTTTCAGCCCATACAAATAACTTAAAAAAATGTTTGGGTTTCTCAAATGAGTCACCGTTATCCTTTCAGAAGCCATTTGACTGAACTATTTTGCCAATGTATGATAATTAACTTTACTGAGACATTTACTTTATTTGTACCAATATATACCCGCATAAAAAGCATGGCAGTGTTTTGTTGTGCAACACATCCTCTACGTCACTTAGGAACTTCATCTAGTTCCATATGGCAGCATGCTTGCATTTGAGGTGGAGGAACACTCAACCCTGAGCTAACAGTCGTGCCTTTAGCTACTGAACTGAGCTGAGCCATGATGGGCAAATAATCCATCAGAAAACCCCAAAAAAGACACACTGGCAGCAGAGCTCTGTACTAACCCTATAATCCAGCCAAAGTCCTAGTTGGACCACCTACAGGACAGAGCTTTTCCAGGTGTTTGAAAGCAATGTGGGATTTGAAGACCTTGATAACTAGGTGCTTTGAGGTTTTGAGAGAATTTTTCATGCGACTGATTATATGCTTTTTTCTCTTTTGTCCATTTGTTTGAAAAAAGAAAATAATAGTAATAATAATAGCATAGAACCTGTCTGTGTGCAGTCATGAGGGCTTGATTTACAGCCATATGTCTGTGCATTTGTGCAGTTTAGGTAAGGTAAGTGCACTCTGTTAATTGCAGCCACTGGTAAATTAATGCCTCGCTCTTTTTTATTTATACAAATGACAGAAAGATGGATGTTTGACTGACTGTTAAAACTGTCCACCATCCTTTGGAGGCATGTTGTCAACCAGAAATAGGGTAAGTATTAAAAGAAAACATGTACATACACAGTCTGAAACTTATTTGCATCCCCCTTTGTTGAGATATGCAATGTAAACGCTCGACTAGACGATTGTCTGTTGTCCACTCTTGTGGGCTCCTGAGAACATTGTTTGAAGGTTGAAGGGTTAAAAGTGTCAGCATCCTTTTTTCTTTTCTCTCTTTTGCATGATAGACTTCAGCATTTAGCTAACCCGCTGCAGGTTGCATTCATTTTCTGTATCTGAGGAGCTGCTGTGGCCAGAGGAGGAGTACATGTTCCGGCCCAGAATCCTGTTGGTCATGCCAATGAGTGCCTTTCTGTACTGCTGCCGTAGCAAGGAATACACAAAAGGGTCCATCGCAGCTTTGCTGTATACCAGGCATTTGCTGACGATCCCCCAGTGATGGCTGATCCTCACCGATGGAACCAGTTCTGCCAGTCTAGAGAGAAAGAGGTTTGTTTATTATTGCAGAAGCTCTTTGGATGCTTTATTAATATTGCTGTCATGATTGATATAAAAAGAATAACTAGAATGTACTTTCTTGCTGCAGTGATTAGTGAGAGTTTGCAAGATGAGAACGCATATTTTAAAATCTACAGGTCTCTCAGAGCCTGATACCCATTTACTGTTTATGCATAATTCGAAAAGTCCAGTTACTTTTTGCCTTTTGTCAAAATTTCATGATGAATGGTACAAAAAATACATGGAAACAATGTTATATTAACTTCCATTATAAGATAAGAACATTTTTCCTTCTCTTTGGCCTATGCATAGTTTGAATGTTAGCTTGTAGTGGATTAATCGTCAGTTAATCGCCAAAATAACCAGTAGACTACTCGATCACTATTATGGTTGATTGTGACAGCCCTAATTAACAGTCCAGTCATGCAGTTTCTGTGTTGAATGTTTCCGTGCAATATTGTTGACAGGCAACTCTGTCATGGCTCATCCACCCCACATGTACACCCCACCTGATATGATTATTTATTCATTTTTAATGAGCCCATGTGTCACCTAACACACAGTAGAGGTTTATAGGGATGAACAGATCATTAGCCTGGTTTAAAAATAAAAATAAATAAATAAATGCATCCTGAATCACACAAGTGTTGATGATTTTAGAATTTAGAAAAGTCTGTTTGTGACAATTGTGCAACTCATTTGAGAGAAAAGCCAAAACAGCTTCTCAATTCTCAATGTCACTGTAGTTTCTGAGATTTTTAATCAGGTTAATTCCAATTCTGTTATAACAGAAGAAATTAGCAGCATGAGTGTAAGTCTCAAGAGCTTCAAGCACTGGATTCATTTATGTATTTGTCTGTTTCAAATATTATTACCATTGGAACTGTCCTGAAAACAGTTCACCACAGTAAAGTGCCAGACTGAATCAAGTTGGTGAAATGAGTTGTGTTTGAGTGTCTACATTGTTGTGGACATTTTACATTTAAGGTAATGAAAATTGTAGCCAGTGTGGTAGCAATATGCAATACATAGCAGTAAGATTCTGTCTGTGGCCTGTCTGCTATAGAACTGAAGCTCATGTGGAGACATGCTCATATATGGATACTGTAGAGCAGTGTTTCTCCTAGTCTGTATGGTGCACTGTTTTCCTTGTTCTAAAACAAATAATTCTTCAGCTTATTCTGAAATGGAATCTGTCAGTCGGAGAAAAACATCAGTCTTGGCAGCAAACTTTAGGAACACTGCTACAGCATTAAAACACAAGCCTGCTCATTAGAAGAGAACTGAAAGCACTACTACACTACATTTCTGTATACCCAAAGATTGCTATGCCATGCTTGGCAAAATGATGCACAATGGAAAAATGAAGAATAGATGAAAAATGAGGAAGACTGCATCAGCTGCAGGTGCTTCATATGGATATACAACCAGCTTCTTTTGTAAGTTCAAATGCTTCCATATTTTCCATATTCCATACTCAGTCATATGCAAAAGTTTGGCAACTCCTGATCAAATGACATATATTGTCAATTTTCCAAGTGAAAATGATGTTACGATATGTGACATATGCATATATATTGGCATATACAATGATTTGTAATAAGTGCTTAAGTATACAATGGCATTCAAGGTTTGGAATGACTACTTTCAATAATATAAAATCAATTTTCTTGTTGATGAATATATTAAATGGCTTCTAATATGATCCTGATATAACTTTACATGTTTTAAGTAAAAAATTAAGTTTTGATGTATCTAGAATGACGATGTAGCTGTAGATAATAAAAACACAGAGAAGGCTGTGTAACATCAGGAATAGATTTAGAGTAAATTTAACATCCAGAATGCCTCATATTTCAGAAGTGGTCATCAAATCAAAAGGCAAATTAACAAAAAATAACATAACAGATCACTACAGTATAATACTTGTCAGTTATTTTTTTGGTGTTCCCAAGAAAAACTTTCAATATTAAATAAACAGTTTAAAATCAATTTTGCTATACTTTATATTTACATTTACTTAAGTTTTTATTACACGTAAAAAGTAATTATTGTGAAATTTGATTCCAGACTTCTGAAAAGTAGCGTGTACATTAGAGCATTACACATCTCATGCATGTTGTCATAAAGTGAGATTAGCTATTGGGGACTGCAGTATTTTGTAATAGGGTCTTGTGGAATTTAAAAGGAATTAAAATGCTAAAATGGTAAACTGGTAATTGTTAAACAGCTTTTACAACAAATGAACTGCACTGTTTAAAAAGCTCAAGAAAGTAGCTATTTTGATGCCCTTTATCTTGACCCTCTATTGAACCCCATAAAGATTCACAAAGGAATGGTTCTGCCTTGCACTGTAGGCCTTTATTAACTCGTCAGACTTCATTACAATCTGGGGATTACTGTGTTATTCAAGGGTACAATGACAAAGCACAGCGGAAGGGCAGGGATAATAAACCTGCTGATCTCTCTGCTATTTAATCTTACTTGTTTTGGTACAGCATGTGGGGATTGGAACCTGTGACCTTGTGGTTACAGATGTTAAGCACATTATTTTTGGAACCATTTTGAACTGTTTCATTCAGGATCCAGTATAACATAACACACTTTTTCTTCTTTATTAAAGGCATTGGTTCTATTTAGAACCAGGAGTTCTGTTTAGAACGATTTCATACCAAATATATAATATTATATTACACTATAACTACTTTTAGGAATGTACTCTTAGTTCTTGATAACTTAGTACCTTGTTATGACATAAGGGCCGAAGCAGAGGACGAAAGAGCCAATGAATACGCAGATCTTCTTGGTAGCTCTCTGCCTCCTTTTCTTCTGCTCCAGTAAGCACCTTTCTTTGACACTGTAGAGTAAAGGGGTCACACTGTAATCCACAGTATCCCACCAGCTTAACAATGCTACTCTAACATGTTATGCTTTGATATGAAGGAAGCAGAGCTGCGTAGAGTAGACTAAAGCCACACAAACAAAAAAACAACCAAAGTTAAGAAAAAAATATTAGATAAACTCTTCAAATACTGAGCTCTCCACACTAAAGAACCATTCAATGGATAGTTCTTTAAATAAGCCCCCCCCACTGAGTCATGTAAAGCCAATCACTGCATCTTTTTGAACTGCTGCTATCAAAATGTCATTGAACAGCTAAACACTTGGAGCTTGAAGGAGAACGCTAACTGTCAACTGTTATGTCAGTTAACAGACCCCTGTGCTAGCTATCATCGCACTGAGTGATGGGTGAAAGCAAGTGGCATCCTACCCACCCAGAAAGAGTGAGGCCAACTGTGATTTCATGGACTCCTTGCCACAAATGGCTGTAGCATCACTGGGGATAATTACCAGTTTTGCAAATGAAATGCATGAGTGTGAAGAACCTATTTAATCCTTAAATGGCTGCTCCCATAAACTAAGAATAGCTTAGCTAGTTTGCATTGAAGTCCTTGAATTTACTAAATAATCATAAGCCTCAGTATGTAATAAGCCTGGGACTTAGTTAAAGTCCACATAATGTAAAATGGAACCATACATCCAAACCAAGAACAATTTATGAACTTTTATTTGTAAGAGCTATTTGAAAAGATGTGGTTCTTTAGTAAATGCAATAGTTATATATAGAACCATGACAACTCATAGAACCATTGTAATGCACAAATGGTTCTTTGCATGATTAAATAGTTCCTCTCTATGAGTTAGAATGTCTTGTATGTAGTTATTTAAAGAACCTTTTTAAAATGGTTCTATATATCACCAAAAAGAGTAACATTGCTTTTACATGTCAAAGCCTTTTTAATACTATACAGTATTACACTATACAATGTATTTGATTTCATTAATTTGATTGAATTAAAAATCATTGAAGAGTAGTATGTTAATAAGTTAATCCAAGGCTTATTACACAATAAGGCGTATTACTGAGTAACTACACTGACTACAGTTCAAACTGGGTAAGTTAATCTTAGATTATAGAAGTGTGTAGTAAAACTTTGGGCCCACCATGGAGTCGTGGCCATTCAAACTCAAATTTAATCAGGTTACTTAAGCTATTTACGAAACAAATTTAAGTTATAATTTTGCATCATTTTTACAGTGTAGAACTCCAGTGGAGCTTCTTTCCGTCTGCTGCCAGAATACAAATTGAAGTTTGCTAGACTTTGTTCTTCTATTTTTGGGATTCTTTTGATATGAAATAAAATACTACAGCTCCAAATGACAGCAAAACAGAACAGAATGAAATTACGCACAAAAAGAAACTAGTAACTAAAGTTTAATGACTAAATGGAAGTGAGAAAAAGTAGATTGCTGAAAAAAGTGACACAGAGTATACTTAATGTAAAGAAAGGCTGTTAAGAGAAACAAAAGTGGCTTTACTATGGCATCAATCCAAAAAGAACCTTTTTTAGCACCTTTTAAGATTGTAGTTATTGTCCACCTCGTGAAAGAACTTGCTTAGTTACCTGGGATGAATGTCAACCAGCAGTAAGAGGGTCTGCACTGTTACTACATCAATCCTCTTGCAGTGGAAACGAGCCACTTGAAGCACTTTCAGGTAGGCGAGGCAGAGCACTGTCAGAGACAGCGCGAAGGATGCCCCGTGAAACAGCACTGTGAACACGGTGAAGGGGATGTGTGCTGTGTGAGAGTGGTCCGGGTGCACGGTGGTGCACGAGGCGTACGTGGGGCTGTAATCAGCCCAGGAGAGGAGCACTGGGGTCAGGGAGAAGGTGAGGGAATGGAGCCACGCGTAGCCCAGCATGGCAAAAGCTCTTGTATACCTCATTTTGCTGGAGTAGGTGAGTGGAAAGACCACAGCAACCCAGCGGTCAATGCTCAGGGCAGCCATGCTCAGCATGGTGTTGGTGGTCAAAAAGGTGTCCGCGAAGCTCAGGGTCCAGCAGAACAAGTCTCCAAAAGGTTTCCCGCCACGTGCTAGCCCGAGCATGGTGGAGGGCATGGTTACCGTGGCCGCGAGGATGTTGCAGAAGGACAGATTGAGCACGAAGACGCCGGGCACCTGCGCGCGAATCTCCGCGCTGGAAGCGAAGCACAGCAGCACCAGCACGTTGGACAGCAGCGACGCCACGGCGATCGCGGCGATGATCAGCTCCAGCAGCGTCTCCCACAAGTTCATGGCTCTATCCAGACTTATTGGCAGCCCAAGGTGGTCTTCAAAATGTCCATCGTTGGGTTATCTTCACCCAGAGCCATGTTGAGTCGAGAGGAACAGCTCCAGGTTGGAGTGAAAGTTGAGAAGAGGCGCTGTCCAGGGTGCTGATCTCAGCTGAGCCCGTTCATTCCAATCAGAGCGCTTTTCAGTAGACTCACCTTTCTCATCCTTCCACATTTTCACACATTAAAGCCATGAAATGTGTTTATTCCTTTGGTAATCAAGCTAGCAGAGCTGTTTAACATCAGATGGTACTCAGTATGAGGAGAGCGGAGAGATCCCACACATTTCCACGCTGAGAAATCCAGTCTTGTGTTTATTTCCACCCATATTCAAACAAGTCACGCCCACCTGCGCTAGGATTGGCTGATAGTTCATACTCACATACAGTCCACCTATCAGGTATGTGAGTATGAACTACTATCCTTTCTCAGCCCGGGAGGCGGGATATTGCCAGCCAACCCAAGCGTAAGGGGGCGGGGCTTGTCGGAATACAGGTGGGAAATGAAAACGTTCTGATTCACGTGCAGCCGGTTATTACATGTGATGTTTTCTCAGTAGAGACGCAGCTTTGGCCAAAGGGAGAATCATGATCGCGCTGAAGCCTGTGTGGGCAGATTTATTCAAGATTTTAAATGGTGTAAATGTGTCAAGTATGTCATGCTATGCATTTGAAAAGCAAGAGAAGCCAAAGCCCTGCTAAAGGCAGCGGTTTAAGGGTCATTGCTGGAAATTGTCATTGGGCCTCTGTAAGCAGGCTTCACAGGAAGGATCTGCTTAACAACAACAGCAAACAACAGCAAAGGAGATTAGAAGTTGTAAAATGGGCAGTAATATGGGCAGTTTGGGCTGCATTTCCTTCAGTGTTGATTTAATTACCCACTTATTGCTCTTCCTGCACCTTCAATCCAAATATTTGTGCTTTCATTTACAGCATTCAGCAGAAGCTCTTATCCAGAGGCCTTGCTTCGTTTTAAATAAAAGAGCTGGATGTAGGATGTAAGTATTGTTAAAGTGGCAGTAGAGAAAGTTTGCTCCAGCACCTTGGAGCCAGTGCAGAGAAGAGTCTTGGATGCTTGTTGTTTATGGATCTTGAGGGATGATGGGTCATTGCCATCAGGTAGTGAGGAACAGGTCCATTTTTGACTTTGTAGGCAAGCAGGGTTTTAAATCAAATGTGGGCACCTCCAGGACACCAATGAAGGGAACACAGCAGAGGAGTGATGTGGATGAACTTAAGCAACATAAGTAGCTGCTTAAGGCTCTGCAGTAGCCAGGTGCCCCCTAACAACTTCTGGACTATTACTGTATCATGTATTTTAAGATGCTTGAGTCAGGAGAAAAAAGCAACTGTTTAATCATGTTTAAAAGATGAACGTACACATCTGGAGATAAAAAAGAAAAAGAAAAGGAGAAGATGAAGGAGAAAAAGCTTAAAGGTAAATCAGTGTTTTTTAATGGAGTTGGACAACAAGAAGCAGTTGATGTTGACCTAACAAACACAGGTGTGGTTAACTTGTTTTACAGCAGCGGTTAACGACTTTGTCTGTTAATCCAGGTTGAGATACTCAGGCTGTAATTAATCCAGGTTTAAAGACTCAGGCTGTGGTTACTCCATGATTAAGTAGTCAGACTGTGATTAATCCAGGATTAAATAGTCAGACTGTGATTAATCTAGGATTAAAAACTCAGGCTGTGATTGATCTAAGATCAAATGCTCAGGCTGTGATTAGTCCAGGTTTAAATTACTAAATTTGTGATTAATCCAAAATTAAATGTTCAGACTGTGATTAATCCAGGTTTAAATACTCAGACTGTGATGAATCCAGGTTTTAATACTCAGGCTGTAATTAATCCAGGTTTAAATATATAGATTGTTATTAATCCAGGTTTAGATACTCAGGAAATGATTAATCCAGGTTTAAATACTCAAACTGTGATTAATCCAGCACTGTTAAAAGTGTCTTGTCAGATCTACTTAAAAAAATTACTTCATGTGGTAACAAGCAATTGAACTAGTTTTATTCAACTCAAAAAAATACTTTGAAAAAATCATTCATTCAAAGTATTTATTTAGGTTGAATAAAACTAGTTAATTTACTTGTTACCACATGAAGTCATTTTTTTAAGTAGATCTGACGAGACACTTTTTTTTCAGAGGTTTGGATTAATCCAGGTTTAAATACTCGGGCTGTAATTAAACATTATGCAGATGTACATGAAAATGGAACCATACACATTCAAACAAACCTCTGCATGATTAAAGGGTTTTTTGCATTATGTGTGGGTTCTTCAGATAGATGGAGAATGTGCTGTAGATGGTTCTGTATAGAACCTTTTTGAAAATGGCTCTATATAACACCAAAAAAGATTCTTCTGTTGTTACAAGCTTGACATTAACAATTTTTTAAGCGTATACATCAGGTAACAAGATGAAGAGCCCCCAAAAAATCCTGCTTAGGGCCCCAAAAGGCTACAGCTGGCCTTGTCTGCTGTATTCTGGATCAGTTGTGAGTTTTAACTTAAAACTAAGTAATCTGGTTATTCTTATCAAAATTCAAATAATGAGTCAACAGAATCTAACATACCTGATTACTGTTAACTTTTGTTAACTTACTATATGATGTTCAGTGCCAGATATACTTACTATTTCTAGTAACTGACTATTTCTATTAACTTCCACGTTTTTATAATGTGTTCTAACACTCTCATTTTAACCTCCTGAAGGGTTTGGCAATGAGCTGGTGAGCTGGGTGAGGTGAGTTGAAGCAGAGTGCAGGGCAGGGAAGCTCTGCGTCTGGAGGAGGTAAACACTGCTATAATGCATTATTAATGTGTGAAATGTACAAGGAGAGTGGATGGAAACCCTGCATGCACTGACAGTCACATGAGCTCACACTGCCTGTGCTTCGCTTTGAAGTTTCTTACAGGCTTCCTCCCCAGCATGTAATAGACTGTACTGTTTCAGGAGCGGGGAGTCATTTCTTTGTCTGTTTTTCAGCTGCAGCACAATTACTGTTCTTTTTTGCCATCTTTTTTAATTATTACTCAGAGTTATGGCTGTCACAATTGATTAACCCCTTAAATGGTGGGCTCAATGTTTTATTACACACTTCTATATCCTAAGAATAGCTCTAAGAATAGTTAGACTAGTTTGCATTGAAGTCCATGTAGTTACTGAATAATAAGCACTGGGATGGAATAAAGCTTGGGATTTTAAGGGGTTAAACTCCTTCTCAGTGAATTGGCGATTAGTTCCATTATTTCCATTACACATTCCTATAACCTAGAAATAACTCATTCTGTTTGAGTTTTGCACTTTTCCATGTAGTTGCTGAATAATAAGCACTGGGATGAAATAAAGCTTGGGATTTTAACCTCTTCAACTCCTTGAGACCACTGGTTCCAAAACACACTTCATCATATTCTTCATAACTTTCATATTTCATAAGCTACATTCAAAAGGTGGGTGTCATATGAGAGCTGTAACTGTCTTCTTTCCAGTGAAATAGATGGGTAATGTTATTTTAAACCCTTATAATAAACTGAACTCACAATTTTTTTTTCTATCTGAAAGTTAACCCATTTTTCCACAAATCTGGGCTATAAACTATGAACAGATGGCGTCTCTTCAGTGATATGCTCTGTAAAATTATGAGGGGAGCTTTTACCAAAAAAAATGAATAAATAAATAAAAATTTACATTTATTTCATGCAGTTACTGAATAATTTGCCTTACGATTTGGTCATGTACATCACTTAAAGGTTTTAAATGACTACACATCGTTTATTATTTTTCAGTTAATTTAATTCGTATTGTTCAGCCTTTAAAAAACTCAGATTACTCTAATCAAAACAATCAGTAGTTTACGTATAATCAATAATAGCAGATATACTCAGAATCTTACCTGATTCATGGAGGATACAAGGCTTTCCATGGAGCTGTTTGAAGAGCTTTTAGAACAGTATTTGATTATTGCTTATACAGTCAGGAAACAGGAAGTCATGTGTGATGGATTCAATCCATTCAGAGGGTGTAATTGAAGCCTTTTGGAAAGTGGATCACAGAATTACAATTACGTCCTTACTGAAAAGGCCTAAAGAGTATGTGTGTGTGTGTGTGTGTGTGTGTGTGTGTGTGTGTGTGTGTGTGTGTGTGTGTGTGTGTGTTTGTGTCAATGGCATAGTAAAAATAATTTTATTTTCAGGGGGGGCCTGGTTTTAGATCAGGAGGCTAGCTTGGAAATATCATGTCAGTGTATTCATTGCTATATTGAGGATGACATTCACCAACTACCCCACTACCTTCTGTATTGTACACAAAAATGTGCTAAAATGTCACTGGGGTGGTACCTCTCTTGACACTGGGTTGGTACTTTTAAAAAAAGGCCTTTGGTACCTTTAGTTGAGGAACATAATTGTGCCTTATTCCATTGCAAATATATTTTTTAATTGTATTGGCTCCATACAAAGAAAGCATGTAAAACACCATATTTAACATTAGAATAAGTATGAATAAACATGAAAACAATAGAATTGAACTTTATCTTTATTTAAAAAGGTTGGACACAAACATTTCTCCGAGCATTTTACACAGATTTTCCAAATGCACACAAAGCTCATTATCATACACACTACTCTCAAAATCTTACACAAACAGAAAAACTCACAGAAAAAGCTCTACACACACCTCAAAATCAAATAATCCAGGCAGACACACACAGCAGATATGTACACAAACCACACCAAAAAGTAACACAATCATGCATATGTATATATATATATATATATATATATATATATATATTATATATATATATATATATATGTGTATATATATATATATATATATACATATATATATATATATATACATACATACATATATGAGATCTGAGATCTTCTGTACAATGGCCTCAACATAATCATTATCAAAAAATTGCTTAAATTTGAAAGTTTCCTAT